GATTGTATCGTTCATGGGCGCTTTTGCGCACGTCGAAGTTGTGTGGGGTAGTTGTCCAGATCAATCGCTGCCCCGCCAAACTTTGTCGTGCATGACTCCCTCGCTCCTCGGCGCTCGGCGCGCATGTGTTCGTCGACAGGGGTCAACTGGTGCATCATAGCTCCCAGCCACTCACCTGTCACAACAACACCGCCATCCACCTGCACCCGCCTGCGCCTGCAACCCTCCATCGCACCCTCGAGACACCACCACCCACGCGCGCTCTCACCGGACCATGAATTGAACCATGTCCTTCTCCTACGACCGCTACGACCGCCGCCAGTCCTCATCCAGCCGCCGCACCACCTTCGGCTACTGGGTGCCCCTAGTCTTTACCGTTACCGTCGCGACCGCCGGCCTCGCCGCCTGGGTATGGAGTGAGCGCCGCGACGACGACGAATCCGACGATGCAGATCTGAGTTATGGCGAGGATGGGGAGGGGAAGATGCCTGAGCCGGCGCGTGGGAGTCGCGACGGCATGTCGCAGGGCGTTGTACGCGACGATGAGAGCATCATAGGGCGAGTGCAGGGCGTGATCCGCCGGACGCCCAGTCCGCAGCAGCTGTTTGATTCTGTGAGCAAGAAGACGGCGGCGGGGATTGCGGCTGCGGGGGCTGCGGCGGGGGCGGCGCTTGCGAGCATCAGGGAGGAAGATAGGGACGATTTCGCGGATCACAACCGGTGGACTGAGGAGGCAGAGATGAAGCGACAGGTCGAGGCGCAGAGCTCGCAGAGCCAGGGCGCCGTCGACACGCAGGCCAAGTCTTTTGCGGCGAGCGTGAGGGGCGGGCCTTCGACGGGGGGGAGAAGAAGGACGGTGGCTATTGTTGTTTCTGCCGAATCGCAGATGGATAACCCCCATGAAGAAGAGGGCTCATACCGCTCAGAGAATGCGGTGAGTACCAAAAGTGAGCGTACTACTGAACAGGAAGCTCATAATAACCAGACCATCCTCTCCCACCTCCCCAACACCGACTTCTCCAAAACCAAGCTCTTCGTCCTCGTCTACTCGCCCTCCCTCCGCTCCCGCCCCAACTCCCGCACCGGCGCCGCCTCCCTCGGCTCCTCCTACTCCGCCATCTCCACCCCCGCACGCACACCGGGCGAAGAGCTGCAGTCCATCGATCCCCACCCTGAAGATACCATCTACACACCCGCCCTCTCAGCCCGCAGCTCCGACAACGTCCTTTGGAACACACTTCACGCACAAGCCCTCCGCCTGGTCGAGAACCCCGCCATGGTCATGCCTTTCACTACGCCCACAGGGCACGTTCACATGCTGAGGCACATTGGCCCCGACCTTGTGTACATCGTTGACGCACTTAGCGGACCCAGCGGCCGCAACATCGAAGACATTGGTCGCTGGGTCGGCCAAACCATCGTAGTCGTTGGTAGCGACGGCACAGGGCTAGGCGGCCTAGTCGACACGGACGACGAAGGCCCAGCGTCCAAGGCGAAATCTGAACACGCTGGCCACGGAGACAGGTGGTGGGAGAATGCCGATATGGTCGGTTTGGGCAAGGGCGTGGAAGTCGTTGATGCTTCGAGGCTTACTGACGACTATGAGCGGAGGGTTGGCGGGCGGGAGTAACGTCTTTTACGCTTTGCGGATACTGGTGGTGTTTATGTGATAACCCCTTATTTATTGTACCTAGGTCGATGTTTACCTTGACCCTTGTTGAGGATGTGTATGTAACGAACACAGAATACATGAGTCTTTGATGCAGGTTGTTGACTTCTTGATTGTTACTTCAAGCTTTACGTGTAAGGCTTACGTGGAACACGCCTCGAAAACCTGTAAACCAGATCCTCTACCAGATTTGCTGGTATGAAGCTGGAGGATCCTAGTTTCTTCGAAGATGCTCTTCGTCCTGGCCGGGTACCTCTCGAACAGTCAAGCATTGTGCCCAGTCTCCCTCCTTCATCCTTCGCTTCTAGCATGGCTCTCTCTTCTATGTTGCTTTGGCAATACCACGGCATCTTTGGTCCTATGACAACCTAGCGAGCGTCTCATTTGTATCCTGTTCCGAACTTTAGGCAATTTCGTCTGTGGGGCGCTCACTCACGAGATCATCCATGCGCAACGCTCACAGTGTTCAAGAAGCCGGCTGTCTAGATTATCCAGCTTGATATTGGGCTCAGACAGCCAGAAAAAGATGGGAAAGACGAATACGTCTTGTCTCGCAAAATTCCACTTTCAGGGTACAGGTGGAAAAAGATAATCTCTATATTTTAACGAAACATAAGAAGGCAATGGATCGGCACGTATTTATTGAAAACCTCAGTCAAACTCTGCAACGATTATGGCCCTTTGGCTTCCCCCGGCTCGACGATCCGCAACTTCCAGCCCTGCTCCGTGTCAACCAACTTCACCATAACCCCCTTCGCCATCCCGTGCAAGTCCTCCTCTCTATTACTCTTCCCAACTGCCTGATCCAAACTCTCCCGATCCAATCCATGGTACAACAAAGTCAACGCGCTGGACTTGAAATCGTGATGTGGCTCATCCTGCCCGGCCCGTGAATGCACTACTATCGCGATGAAAAACACGAGAAGGAGAAGTGTGGTCATCCCTGCGTAGCCTACCCATGCCCACTGTACTCTTACGCACGTAGTTGCAACGCTAACCTCGCCGAACGCCGGGTCCTGGAGGGGCTCGTAGCCGTTCCGGCGTATGTACGTTGTTAGGGAATGACTGATGTTGGAGAATAGGGAGGATATTTCGCTCAGACTGCCGTTTCCGCTGCCAGCGAGGTACAGAGCTAGAAGGTGGTCTTGGTGCAGTGATACGTCGGCGTTTTCGAGGTCGTCGAGGGTACTGTTGAATTTGTGGAAGAGGTAGGTCCAGAGGGACAATTGGGCGTCTTGGTTCATGGTGTAAATGCAGTGTGCGGGGACGTCGGTGATGTTTGTACTGGTGGTGGGTAGGGCTGGGGTGTCTGTTCCGCCTAGCAAGAGAGAAGGCGTTAGACAATCTGAAATTTACCAATTCTGTGGCCAGGAAGATGGACAACTTACAGGGCGAGAGAGTATCCTCACAGTAATTATCCGGTGAGAACCACGGCACTTCTTTCGTCCCACTCATGACCGAGACTCTATACGGAATGAATCGTGCCGTCGTATTCCACCTATACCCTAGCAGCTTCAACTGGTCGCGTTGTGCTTGGTTCAGACATTCAAGGTCCGCAGCACTATAAGCCCCCTCAAAATCGCCCACGCTATTCGGACGCTCGAGATCGAACGCCTCATGTTCGGAAACTACCGTCTCTTTCAACTCACCCCCCTCCATCTCAGCAGTAAATGTCTTAAGACAAGGATAAATTGAGCACGTGTAGGCCACAAACTCTCCCTTTGGTCTATTGTACCGGATCATGCCAGTAAAGCCGTCTATGTTCGTTTTGGCCGCGAAGACGATATCCGATACATCACCATCATATCGTTCCAGAGACACATTCTGGTTCTGTGCAAAATCGAATTTGTACGGCGACATCTCGATCGGCAACGTGGCGTTGACCATGTTGTAGACTTCTCCGCCCGCCACGATGTCTGTCCAGCGGCGCGTAATGAGGTTTTGCGAGCGGTCCTGACACTTGCTGCAGAAGGCTAGAGAGTCGTACGGGTTGCGAAAGGTGCAGTTTCCAGTTGGGCAGGAGATAGGAGGCTCGAGGACGTCGACACCAAATATGGGAGCATTGGCTGCATTGTGTATGCTAGGAAGGTGTCAGTGTACTTTCCTAAGAGGTTTAGCGGCGGCAAAAGATTGTTAGATCTTTGTAGCCTCGATCTTCTTTTTTTACGTACCCTAGTCTCGGACCTGACTTCGCTCGTTCGGTCCCAGGCACCTCATCTAGAATGATGGGCGCAGAATCAACATCATCTTCCACCCCTGCAGGCCGAGTAGCTTCATCCTGAAGTACGAGTCCAGAGTTGACATAATACTGCGCTCTCGGAATCGTAGCAACAAGCTCCACGGAAATCTGGCTGCACGAATAAAACTGGACAATTTGCTGGGAAAACGGATCTAAAAGCAGAACTAAAATCGTAACCAGTGCTCCTAGAGAAGATATATCCCGCCCCTTGTTGTGCCAAAGCAACTGAACCGAACCCCACGGCCCTCGGGAGGCATCATCGTGGTATTGAAAGCTCCGGAGAGAACGGGGCCGGCTTAGGCTCATCCATTTAAGATGGCTTATGCTTTGTGCGAGAGTCAGACCGGCGGAAGCTTTCAAGACGACCGTGAAGATGGCGAGAAGGGCGTTGATTGATATGCCATAAGGCCAGTGTGGAAGTGGCTTGTGCTCGTGAACTCGCAAAGTAATGATGATAGCGAGTAGTGCCATAGCGGCGAGAATGCAGCAGGCAATTTCCAGCCACCAGATCCGGATAGTCCTTCTGCGCCTCCACCAGGAACCCATGAAATTCGTAGAGATGGCTATGGGCCACCTGTTCGGCTTTCGAACTGGACGCTTCATTGAGGAATTTCCGGTATTATTCTCTAAAATTGAAGGACTGCGTAGCAGGGAATTATAGTCGTAAGGTGCCCTTCCCACATGGTCCTGGGTCGTAAAATGCATGTCGGGGCATCGAGGTCAGTCGTCGCATGTGTGCAACCTTATATATTTTATTCGACCGAGAGATATATATCCAGCCAGCCTTGAGCTAAGAGACATGTCTCCATGGGAGATGAAGAAGGCGTACCGCCTTGGGGAATTTACCGTTTCAGTCTACCGAAAGGGGTAAGTAGCCTGCAGATGTGCGCAATGCGATTCGATGTTGGAACGTGGGGTCTAAACCGAAGGTTTGGTCTATGTTAGACGTCGCATCCTTTGAACAATGCGTCCCCCACAGCTGTGAGGAACGAGAGATCCACGCACCCCAAACACCAACAAAAAGGACTACCTGAAGACTCAGTTCTTCATAGATCCAGATGAGCGAGCAAAAGGATATATTTCAGAGTGTATTGCCTACAACTGGAATTGAACCAGTGATCTTCGCATTTGCATGATGATACAAGTGCGACGCGTTGCCACTGCGCCATGCAGGCTTCATTGAAGCTTTCGATGACTTTGTCTGAAAGATTGTGATAAAAATTTCAGCTAGTAAAAATATAACGTAAAATTTGTTTTACCAACAGCACAAACCCTTACATCATAATCCCTAGTGCAACATTAATAATAGCAATCGTGTGTTCTGTGGCAAGCCACACGTGAGGGGTAATATCCTCGGTTCGTGGCGGCTAGGGTGGCTGGCTTAAATTACTTTAGATAATAAAACTAAAAGCACTAGACGCGAGTATTATAATCTCTTATAGTAGGTAATAAATATTAAATAAATCTTTAGATCTCTACTCTACTATCTAGAATTAATAGCTTAGCCTAGGTCTATGTCTAAAGGCATAATGGAGCTAAAGGGTCGTCCAACACTAACTTCGTCGAGCGAGATGGAGGCAAGTCATCAGTTGATAATTGAATACCAGGATTAGGACTAAGGTAGATTTTTCGTTGTCTGCATCAGGCTTTACGACTCGTAAGTGAACGAATACAAAGCAAAAAATGGTACCTGCTCATATGACTTGACTCGTCTTACCAAGGTTAAGCAGTCGGTCTTTCAACGAAGGACGTGCAATTACGAGGCAGACACATCTTAAATTTAATAATGTGTCCTGTAACTTAACAACTTTTTCAAACAACCATGCTATGCGACCCGCTCCAAAAAGGTCTAGCACACTCTCTCCTCTTTTTCTACAACGCGCCCAACTCACACCCCCTCCACATCCGCCCCCCTCTCCCTTTCCCTCTCCCTCGCCTCAGCTTCCTCCCTCTTCTTCCTAACCAAATACTGACAAAACTCACTCTTCTCCCTCATCTTCCCGCCCCACCTCAAGAACACAAATGGAATGACACAAAGCGCCAAACTAAAGAAGCCCAACAAACTGCTCGCCCACGGAATCCCCATAGCACGATACATAGGCTTCGCCGCGAATGGCAAGACAGCCCCAAAACTGCTCCTCGACAAGCTCGCCGCCGCCATCGCGCTCGCCGCAAACACCTCATACGCATCAACGAGGTAATTCAGCAGTGCCATGAATAAACAGAGATAACCCATACCGAAGAGTATGCCGGCGAGACAGGGTACGATCCAGTGGATGCTTGCACGCGCTGTCCAGCCGAGCCAGTAGGAGGAGATGACGAAGAAGGGGCCGGCAATGCAGGCGAGGGGGAGCCGGCGCATTTCTTCTCTCTGGGCCCATGGTTTGTGGGCGGCTTGGGCGCGCCGCAGGATCGTGTCCCAGGTTAGGTATATACCGGCGGAAATGAGGGCGCCGAGGCCAATAGGGAGGAAGGTGAGGCCGGTTTCGCCTTCGTTGAAGTGGTAGATATTTGTGAATATTAGTGGATAGGATTGAAAGTAAATATAAAAGATGGAATCTAAGGATGGCTCGTTAGCGATGTGTGTGTGGGAAGGAGGTGGAGGAAAGAGCGTACATGCGTAGCTGAGGTATAAGCATGTAAATAGAACAAGCGGCTCGAAACATATCATGCGCAGCGGGCGTGTGAGTACGACCGTGACGATGTGTCCGAAATCCGTCTTCTCGAGCTCGATGGGTGCTATTATGGACTCGTCGCCCGTCTCTTTTCTCAGTCTTCGTGCACGATGCTTCAGGATGGTTGGGGCGTATGATTCAGGCAGGAAGAAGAATAGCGGCCACGAAGCACCCGCGAAGATGGCGCCGATCCAGAAAGCCCAGCTCCAAGAGACGACGCTGATGAAGCCTGAGATGGGCGGTCCGAGGATTGGACCGAAAGTTGTTGCGGCCTATGTGAATCGTTAGTAAGATCCTGTATCGTAGCAGGGAACAAGCTCCGACTCCACTTACCATAAAGATAGCCATACTCCGCCCCCTCGCCCCAGGTTCATGATAGACATCCGCACACACTCCTCCCACCACACTAATTGCACAACTCCCGCCCATACCCACGAGCCACCTGAACACGACTAACGCCGCGAAATTCGGGGCCGCGGCCGACGCAATAGAGAACACGGTGAAGACCGCAAACGCGGCGATCATAGTCCATTTGCGGCCGTACGACTCCGAGATGGGGCCCCAGATCATGGGACCGCCTGCATAACCGACTAGATAGATGGAAGTGGGGAGGATAAGTTGCGATTCAGAGGTTACGCCGAAGTGGCGCGATATTGGGGCTGTGGCGCCGGCGGCGAGGGATGAGGACATGGTGCTATTCATCACTGGAGCATGTTAGAGTTGTTGAGTTCGGGTGGGGGTTGGAGGACGTACCACTCATGATCGCTACGAGGAGCGCGTATAGCTTTTTCCACTGCATCGTCCGTTAGTTTGATTCAATTGCGCGTTCCAGCTCTCTACTGTAAGCACGTACCTGCGGCCAGTTGTTCGGATTCTCAGGATCCCTATCTTCAAATCTTATAATCTTCCTCTCACTCTGTCCCGCCTCTCCATCATAAGACCGTCTCGGCGACGGTGTTTCTGACGGTGAAGGTGAACTCGTCTCCTCAATCTCATCGCCTTTCTCTTTCTCCACCTCCAAGGGGTCGTCGAAGTCTTTGATAGGAGGTATGCGCCCGGAGCGAGAATTCTCGCCACCTAAAAAATGCAACACGTAATTAGTCTTTGATGTAATATTGGCGATGGTCGCGTGAGCGGTGGGTTGAGAACATACGACGACTGCGTTGCGTTACGCTCCTCACAAGAGCGACGGGCGTAGCTTCATGCTCGAGCCCACCAGCCAGCATACGACTATCCCTGGAATAAGTCTTTTCCAGCTCACACTGAGCCTCTGCCATGATTCTCTATGTCTCTCTGGAGCCCAAATTGAACACCTCCAGCTCATTGAGTCTGCACAACTCAGCACACTCACAAATCACAAAAGAAGACACGGGAAACGGGAAAGAAAACACAGCCAAATTTTCCCAGCAGCAAAGGGCGTCAATGACATGACGCTCAACCCCACCAATATCAGCTAGGGCGTTAGCATATCCGAGGTGCTTTCCTTATTTAGGGCGGGGAAACTGCAGATCGACTAGGTGGTTGCGCGCACGTGATAGGTCGAGGGCGCCGGGGATAAAGAAATAGGAAAGGGAATCCACTTCCCGCCGCGGAGAGAACGCCGAGGACATGTTGAATTGGGCGATGCTGGTTCCGAATCGGTTGAATGGCTACCGATCCGGTGCAAAGCGTGCCGCTACGGTGTGCCATTCCGAGCGCCGAGATGGTGAGTCAATGATGCGTTGGTATTCCGAAATTCCGAGCGAGGATTTGAGATGGGGCGGTGAACCGATCAATTGTCGTTACCGTACAAGGCGGTTATAGCGAAGCCACCACAGTGCGGATAAGCATTCTTCCAGATGCAGATACTCGCTTTCATGTCTCGAGATTGATGCTCCTCCCAAACCGCCCATATAACACCTTCTTCAGCTCACCCATCTCTTCCTGCACCGCAGTCATCTGCTCTTTCAGTTTATTGACCTCGCCGTCGATGTCCTCTTGAGACGCAGACAGCATTTCTAGCACTTGAGGCTGCGGTATTGAGACGAAGCAGTCGCCAATCTTGTACCTGCGGATGTTCAATCGATGGTATTACATGGGCATGAGGACTGCATGTGAGGATACACTTACGGCACCTTCTCCTCCTCGTCCACCAGCTCCAGCTCGCCTGAAATCTCCTCTAGATCTTCCTTCTCTTTCTTGGATATCGTCAGCAGTGGTGTATGTTGCGATGGATTATGTGACCAGGATGGCACTTACAAGCTTTTCCCGCAACTCCTCCTCGATCCTCATCTCCTTCTGATGCAACGAGCTGAAACGACTAATCTTCTCCTGATCCTCGCGGCGAACCTGAATGTCTTCCGTGGGAGCTGTCGCCTCGTCCTCCTTGGACAGCTATTTCTCCGTCAGCGACTGCCAGGGCCGTGCGCTAGGCTGGTGCATGGGGTGAAGGGTTTTGCGCACCATGCGTCGCTGCATCATATTGGCTTCGCTTGTGTATATGAGATAATGAGCAAGCAGCGGAGCTGGTAAAGAAGGGTATTCCAAATTGTCGGCGTGTTGGTGTCGTTGATGAATGTTTTGTGAGATTGAGTTTCGAGGTGCGAACTGATTTGACACCGCCAAGACTCTGCACGACCAAGCTTGATCACCACTGTATTTCACCTTATATTTTCGATTATGGAAACAACAGTAGACAATGAAAACTTTGCCAATAGTATCATTTCGTTAGCTATCACTATTCCGTACGTAGGAATGCTATCTAGAAGCACCTCAACATGCTTCCAAACAAGCAACAAAAAAACAACGGCGTCTACACACTGCAGTTCTATTCAGTGCCATTGATAAAGCGCTATCTCCCATATCCTCAACCGACCCTCTCAAATGTCGGCCCAATCTTCTCCCTTCCCTCCACAAGCTCCACACTTGTCACACTATTCTGCGCATCACACAGAGCCCTCACTATCACACTCTCACTCTTCTCCCTGACTAGCCTTCTGAGCGCCTGGACTAGGAATCCCGAAAAAACATCCACACTCCACTCATCCGGCACAATAGCAAGCACATCGCCGACATCAAACCAGCCACCGAACCTTTCTAGTAACTCACCCGTCTGCTCGACGCGCTGCGCCAGGTCCTCGAGCCGCAGGAACTCATGTAAGAGGTGATTGAAAAGACGGGATTGCTCGGCTTTGCTGGGTAGCTCGGACTGCGGGACATACCCTGCGCCCGAGGGCCGGAAGATGGAGGACCCGCCGTAGAGGCAGTAGGATATGGCAGTATCGAAGTCACCTAGCCCATGGGTGAGGAGGCGGAGGGCTTCTTGGTGAAGGCCTTGGCGGCCGTTGAGGATGATCATTTCGGGGACTAGCTCTTGCACGTAGGGCTGTAGTCGCGTAAGAATGGTAAGGACATCGTAGGACGATGTGGCAGGCTGGTTGGAGCCTAGAAGTTGGAGGAGGCGCAGGCGTGCGTGCCACCATTCTGCGTCCAAGGCGTTGTCGGTAATGAATTGGCGGTAT